CTGCCAAAATACCATGGGAAATATATCTCAAAACACTATGAAACTGCTGCAGACGTGAAAGCAGCAAGTCTATCCGCAGAAAACCCAAAAAGCAAGGCAGAAGTGAAGCTAGTGCTGTTTGGATTAGGATCCAGACAGATCTTAGGGTTTCTTGAGCCATGCTGTGATACTTTAAAGTAAGCGTAGAGCTGTAATAGCAGGATGTGGTGAAAGAAAACAAAATTTTCAATTCAGCAGGGAATGTATTTTATAGTAAATGCTGTTATAAATTACAATATATTTCTTGGGAAATTTCTTGGGACTGAATAACTTTAAGAAGTTTTGCTTCAACAATTTCATAGTGTTTACATTTTTCTTAAGATTTTTGCTGCTTTTTAAACTGATCTGTGTATATAATTTAGAACCTAAAATTTTGCCCAAAGCCTCAATTGACACAAAGCATTCCAGGGACTGTAGGACGAAGTGTCCTAGCATGTTCCCAGGTCATCACAAGGTCCTACTCCACAAGAGTGACCAAGGAACATGCTGAACTTGTCCTATCTCTTTATGTCTGCATCTTCTCACCTCCTGTTTCCTAATTGCATTACAGTGAAGTAGAAAGGAAACTGTTCCACTATTTATTTTTGTACTGACTCTGGGTACAAATCTAGGAAACAACTGGTATTAAGCATCTGGAAACTTTTTGTGAGGCTGGAGTGAAGGAGGCTGATATGATGCTATTTAATTATTTACCTGCAAATGCCTCTCTAATAAAGGGTTAATAACTGTTAGGGAACAAAGAGAGCGCCTTTTTAAAAATAAGTAATTACATTACTTTTGGCAAGAACATGCACTATGTCATCCTGTGCTCATGCAAGGGGAACACACCACCTGGGATTTTGAAAGCTATGACACAGGTAGGCTGCAGAGCATTGGTTTGACACAATCAGAATCAATGGTGATACCAGTCTGGATTCAGCGCTGCAAGGATATGTATGAGGGCAGAGGCAGAAGACACCACTCTTAAGGAACCGAAAAACTGCTAAATGAAAGATTTTAGCATTATTAGTGGTCCTACTGCCCCAAAAGTGAGTGCTATCATGTCTATAACCTCACGTTACATGGAAGTACACAGTCAGCACTCTGGGCCAAGATCATATAGATCCATAGAGCTATGATCTGAAAGCAGAAGGGGTCTGCCTGACTAAGTCAGATGACACAGAAAATGAGTGATGCTAGTGACACTGAACCTCTCCCTTTCATATAATTAGTTTTCATCCTTCCCTGAATTTTTACGTGGTGCCAGGAGTAATGAACTAAACATGGAGAGGGCACACGCTCAAGCTCTGCAGCATGACTGCCCACACCGTTGAATTGGGAGCACTGCTTCTGGCACGGACCAAACCGCACTGAGACGGTGCTCAGGCATGGTCCGGGATCAGCACGGGCCACAGATGCAACAACAGGCAGTTTGGATGCAACTATCCTGTTTGGGGGGGGTAAAAGCGTTGCTGAAAGGATGTAAGCTGTGCTGCATCAGCTGACTTCTAGGCCAAAAACAGTCCTGACCACTTTTATGCCACAATTAGAGGTTGACACAGCTGGTGCTTGTACTTCATCTTTCTTCTAAGTAAGCGTAAATGTAAGGGACTTCTCCCCTATTTTTAATAGTTGACTTTTGCACTAGTAGAAAAAAATACTTTTAAATTTGTATTAATCTGCAGAAACTGCAATTTGTCAGTAGGAATTGTGCAAATGAAATTCACATAAATTTTCCTTTATGTATTTACTATACATGTATTATATAGACTAAGATTATTTAAAAGGTTAAATCAGATTATCTGATAAGGACATGCATTTATTATATCCCTGGATTTATGGAGGAAACTGTGATGTCAGTTATTAGATTATAGCTGCATGCCAAAAACAAAGGTTACTACAGTCTTGAGACAAATAAATCGCTGTATTTTGGAAAATTCTGTGAGAATAATTCTAATTAGTGTTTTAGATGCACTTAGGTTAGTGTATCAAGTTTTAATTTCAGCTACCACACATTTCTTTAAATGAATTTTGCTACAGGTAAGTAAAAATGCAAGAAACTTGCTTTAATATGGTTGGTAACTTGTTAAAGACACCCTATGCATTCATTTAAAACACATGTTCCCATCTTCTTTCTCTCCTACCTATCCCACCTCACCTCTTCTCATCATTGATTTCCACCTGCTTCTGAGGCCAGAAAACTTCTAACACAAATATTTTGTGGCTTTTAGAAGTGAATATCCTTATAGTACTTAAAATCTATATCCAAATCTTTGCCACTCACATTAGATTTTGAACTCTATTCCCAAATAAATAACGTAGAAAACAAGAAAGATAGGAGAGGACTTAAGCTGAGGAGGAAGAAGAACGTTACCTTGCAGGCTTAGTAATAGTATGAAGAACATTGACAGAAATTTCATAAAAGACAAGGTCCCAACTGAAATTAAAATTAAAATTTGCAATCCATTATGTCAAATCCTATAACAAAAATAGTCAGGCTTTCCTGAGGACTTACATCAGCCTGTTGTTTTAGACTCAATTGCTATATTCACATGTTTGTTTGTCAGTTTTAAACCTCTTCTTCATACTTTCCAAGTGTTTAGAATATCCAAAAAGATTCTTTGTAAAATTTCTAATCCCATCTCTTTTCTAAGAATATTAACAATAACCTTTTTGTTCTACTAGGTCATCATCAGAGTCACACTTGTTCCTGAAAAAAGGAGTTATTAAATCCTATAGAAGATACTTCACAGTTCTCTAGATAGGGGTGAAGGAATTAAAACGGTAGTAGAACAATTGATGATTCGTTATTTGAGAACACTAGAGCAGAACACTTTGTACGTGTACATCCCTTCCATAGGTAATCATGCAAATATCGTTACTTTTTTAAAGGTAGTATTAGCTACATAGGATAGTAATTTAAAAATACACATAAACATAATCACAACAATGATTTGAGAGCATATGTATGCACGTTTGGCCCAGTGTAGGCCAGCATGTTAGCATGGGCCTGAAACACAGGTTTGAAGTTGAGTGTAAAATTGAATATCGTCACAAATATGTTGTTTTCCTGAATTATACCTATTCCTTTTTGCTGTATGTTTTGTCATGATTAACAGTCTCAAAACTCTTACTATGCTTACTCTTAATCTTAAAAAATTTGTAAAAATCACATTTGCCCTTTGAGGTATTTAATAGAGAATCTTTAATCTAAGAGATTCTCTCCTTGAAGAAAATTACTGTTCAGGTTAACCATCAGCCAGCAACATTTTAAGATGTTAAACCTACATCTTTCAAAGGCAATCCAGGCAGATAACATGCAGATAAAAGCTAACACACTTCATATGCTTACAGCCCTTATAACAGTATAAACAACTAGCTGTTTCATCTACAATCAAAACTGGTCAAGCTTTAAATCTGAGCAATCTAAATTTGTCCATAAAAGAAAATAGTAGAGTCCTTCACAAACAGGAAGTTTATTTGCCTTTCTTTGGAGTTCTTCACTGTTCCCCCACCTCTCTAGACAAACCTGATTTCATCCCACCACTTCAGAACTACAGATTTTTTAAATTTTTTCTATTCTTTCAACAGTTTTTCAGAAATATTCCTCTCACATCATGATAAGAGGGCTGAAAGAGCCAAGCAGAACATTTCTTTCACAAGCCGTACGAAAAGCAATACTCATAATTTGCAGCAATTTAGCCCTGCTTTTATTTTATATAAACATTAATGATGGAAACATTCTCAAAATAAATGAAACAGAATGGAAAAATAAAAGAAAAAACGGATGAATTATCTATAATTTTTTGTTAAAATATAGAAAATAAGGATAGATAATTTTCTAGAAAGAAAATTTCCATCACTCATTTAGTAAATATACAGACATTTGCAAAGAGCTATACTAATTTTATCTTTTAAAAAGAGAATGAATGTCATTGCTGCACTCATTCTGTCAATTATAGGACTGCGACAAGACTTGAGATTCACTGTTTTATATAATGTGATTGTATGATATAAAAAGTGTTTTGGTACTAAAACAGTTCCTTAAAAGAAACTAAGTTAAAATGAATTTAATAAACATGCTCAGCAAAACCACACATCTTCACAAGCAGCTATTATTCCATTTCACATGAGGCAAGAAAAGTTTTAAATATTGACAGATTTTTCTTTTTTCACTGAAAATTGCATCATCAAAATCAATACAAAATGTATTGTCTTCTGTTTAATCTTTATCTAGGTGAACAAGATGCTCAGCTACTATAAACCAAAAGAAATTTCATGGATTCCAATAAGCTCTTTTTTTTTAAATATTCCCCCAGTTTATATGAAGATAAGCTCATATATACCTAGACAAAATACAAGGTCAAAAGGTCTAAGTATATACCCAGCAGGCTAGTTGATTCTAATCAGTATTTTTCATCTTTAATTTCTCTGGTCTCACTCAACCCATATACAGGCATTTTTTTGGATACCTAAATACATATCCTGGATCAGATTACGAATATTTTGCTCACAATTACTAGACAATCAGCTTTATCGATTACTGGAATATTACCTGTGCAGTTAGATATCTTTCATTGCAATATGAGAATCATGATACGGCCCTAACTAGTCTGATTTTCATCTAATCATATTAACTTAAATAGCTTAAATGGTCCAACACTGATGTTCTGAATTTTAGTTCTCTTTGCATTAATATTCGATGTATCAGCTTCTGGGGCTAATGTTTCTTGTATATCATATTGCAAAAATAATAGATTATATTCGCCTTGGAACCATTGGTTCTAGACTGCCCTATCACTAGAAACCATGTAGAAAAGAATGAAAGTTTTCCTTAATTCATAGAACTTTGAACTTCTAGGGACTATTGCTGATTTCTTTCTCAAAGGTATATTGTTAATACAAACTATACAGCTAATGCTGCAACTGACTTTTTGACCACTAAATATTGTGATTCTTTTTTAAAATGGAAGAAAACTTACCTTAATATCAAAAGCTCCTGGCTGACCCTCTTTGTTATAAAGCTCCAGCTGTTTCTTGACAGGTGTTACCCACAATATCACCTGATTTAATTGTTGATCATGTTCGATGAAATCCTTTAGCAGAATCTCTATTTCTTTTTGTTTCTCTGGAAGATCTTTGGAAACCTGAAAAAAATACCAGAATCCATTTTTTTTGGTGGGAAAAAAAGTAACATAAAGCAATTTAACATTACACACATATACACTAATATAAAATGTTAAAATAGAAGTTTTATATATTAGTAGGAAGAAAGGAAGGAAAGAATAGACCCACCAATCAAATTATTGTGGTAGGCATCTTGCAAGTAACTCAATATACACTCTCTTCTAAAAAAAACCCAAACCAAAACAACAAAGGCAAACAAACAAAAAAACCCAGCTCCCCCCTCCAACCTCAGAATCAGGCTTCTCATTTTTGGGGTTATTCCACTATTGTACTCATAGTACATAAAAAATGTGTTATCTCAGTATATGACAGCGAAGTCAATTTTTAATCAGGAAAAGCAATAGTAAAAATATGGAATTGATCAACTGAATGATACCTAACCGTTCTTGACGGGCTTTGAGCAACCTGGTCTAGTGGGAGGTGCCCCTGCCCATGGCAGGGGGGTTAGAACTCGATGATCTTCAAGGTCCCTTCTAACCTAAACCATTCTATGATTCTATGACCTCTTGAATCTAGATATTTATAAGCATATGTCCTCTTACAAGGTGTTTAGAGTTGTGAATTAAGTCCAAACAGGCATGAGCAGATGTATACATTGAACAAAAATAATAAAGGTATATATCATCAATACTGATCTGGCCACTTGGTTCTCTGATTTGCATTCAAAGCAGTCTGTTTTTTAACTAAGCACATTCTTCTGTGCCAACAATATTAGAAATTAAGAATCAGTGAATGGCATATTTCAAATCCAACAGCACTCAAGCACTTGGAGTAAATATAGGAACAGGTTGGAAATAAATAAGCCAACACAAAGCTCCATGCTGTCCTTCCCAGATTGTTTTCTATAGCTAGAGAGGTGAGGTGTCACTATACTACACACTGGGCAACATTGCAAACACATACTAGGGGAGAAACCATCTGTACTTTAAAAAAAAATAATTCACAAGAGGAAATATAGAGCCTGGACAGACATAAGAAACAATGGCAGTTAATTATTAAAATCAGCTGAGAAGTATGGTTAGTTTTCCATCTCAAGAAAAATTAGGTTTCCCAGTGTTCGTTGTTTTTTAGCACATTTTTACTGAAGTGACCCTCTTAAAAATAGCAAAACATTAAGTTTTTGATACACACAATTAAATATAAATTCCCTGTAAAGTTAAACAGCATTAATGGAAGCATTGCTATCACATTGCCTGGCTACGTAAGTGTTACTGCTGTGTGCTAACTTCTAATCTGTAATGATGGTATTTTACAGAAGCCAATAAATCTAAACCTATCAGAGACAACAAAGCAATGAAGGTTAAAAAAAGCAAACAAACAAACCATCCACCACTAAAAAAACCCAAACAAACAAAACCAAGCAACCACCAGCTGAGAGAATGGGAAGAACACAACTGTCTCATGACATGTACATTTCTTCACAAATTTGTTTTGACAAACTGATTTGTTGGTACTAAAATAACCCCTCTACATATACTCTGCATACGATTTGTTAGACAATACTTCAGTGATATATGTAATTCAGGAAGTTGATTTGCCATATATTAAATTATCCCAATTGTTCGCTATAGCCATCCCAAAATATCCTATTTAATAAAAACTGACCCGTGAGTCAAATTAGGTTTTCTGTCTTCCTAATCTTGTTAAATAAAACAAAAACTCTGCTTTTCCAGAATGGCCCCAGATATGAAAGAAAACAATTAAAAATGCATTAATTTCCCTTATGTGTTAACTCAATATCTGTGCAGACCTTGGCCTAATTTCACAGAAAATTAGTTTCATCTTTCTTACAACTTTTGAATGTTAATCTCTAATGTTTAGTTGCTTTACTATTAATGTAATCATGTTCCACAGAAATACTACTGAAAGTAAATAGGTAGCCACAGACAGATAAAAATCCAAGCTGACTTCTCAAGATCTGAAATTTAAATTAATCTGCTTCCAATCAACATTAATCAAGCATATTGGGTCTATCACAAGAAAGAGAAAGAAAAATCTGTAAAGATTTCAAGGGGGTGCGGGGAAGTAACCAATTATTTACTAAGTTATGGTCAATCCAGAAATGCAGAAGATGTAAGACTAGGTTTTGGTGACAGACTGTGCTTCAACCTACTGTTTTCAAAAGTAATCACACAAGAAAAGAAAGTAAAATAAATCCCACCTATAGTAAGAGGTAAATTGTGATATAAGTAAATGCAGCCTCTTCTTACAAGTTGGCTCCTGAGCTAAAATTATAGCCCAAAGATTATAATATCATCAATATAAAAATAAAAAAGAAATCTAAGTCAATATGAATCAGTTCATTTTATACAGAAATTTAATGTCATTTACTTTTGCCACAGAGATCAAACCAGCAACAGTAAATAAATAAATAAAGGACTTTCTTCAAACTCAGGTTAGGGTTACAGATAAGCACGGACAAGCATTTACAAGGCAATACCTTGTAAGATCCAGGTTATGTGTTATGTGCCATTGTGTGGGAATCAGATTTGCAGATTCTGGATCTCAGGGATTTCATTTGCTTGCCTTTTTTTTTTTTTTCCCTTTAAGCTCTGGTATCAAACTGTCAAGCTGGCTAATCAAATTAGAGCCTGATGAGTTTAAGGTAATTACAGGTCCACCTACCAAGCCAAGGTACTGCTGCAGACTGTCTCTCGGGGGACAGCTTGTTTCCTGAGCTAATTCTGCAGCTCACCAAAAGCATAATTTGGGAAAACCTCTATGGAGTAAGGGACGTGGACATGATGACTGGGTGTCTAGATTTATGCCCTTTCCGTGGCAGAGGAGGACGCGTGGGGATGGGGCCCTCCAGAATCTTCCCTGCAATTGTTTTGAAGCTTGTTATTCATAGCTCCAGGAGTTCCACTCCTGAGGTGGGATTCTGATGATGGTGAGACCAACAGCTATCCCACTGCCCTGCTGTCTCTGGGCTCTCTCTGCAAGATCTTGGATGTGTGCAGGGATGAGTGAGCAATGACTAGTGTCCCACTCTCTTTTCTACATTTTTGCCTTTGGACTCCTTCCTCCTCCATCCTGCTTTTATTCATTTGTTGTCTCAGGGTAACCATC